ATCCAGAGGGAGAAAGCACAGCAAAATAGCTAATCGAAATAACTACCGAAACAACGTCGTCTTTAATATCATTTCAAGGTTGTTGCGCAGCGAATAATTTTTTTTTTTTTTTCACTGAAAAGAGCTAGGTATACCATTTTAAGGGGCATTAGCGGTTAGGCCAAATAAAACGTTTGTTTGCTACTTTGACTGTGTATCCTTCCTTCGCTGTAGGCTTCATATTTTGACAGCTTTTTCCCCTACCTGGTCACCCAACACGTAAACACGCGTATACTTGATAGCAGGGTGAGGAATATACACCAGGATTCATGCACAAGTGTGTTAACGTAAACACATGTGTGAAGGTGAACACACGTAGATATCCGTCCTGCTGTCTCTCCTTCCTATCCCGTTATTTTAAAAATTTTCACATCTAGTGTGATGCTGGAAATGGAGGGTCTCAACGGTGCAGAGATCAACTCCATTGCATCACCATTTACGGAAAACAAAAAGAGACTGTATTACAGTGGAGGTGGTAGTAACAATATGAACAATTTGAGGGGGAATGCAAGAGGTGGCGCGAGGGGAAGTGTGAGGGGAACCGCGAGAGGCAGCGCCAGGGGAAGTGTGCGGGGCAGCGTCAGAGGTAATACTAGAGGAAACGCAAGAGGAAACGGGAGGAACAGTCAGATTACTATGTACAACGAAATGGACGAAGGGAATAGCGACTACGATCGGGGAATAACTATGCACAGCCTCGATCCATTTAGTAGTCCCACTTACCAATCACACACCAGTAGGGCGGCAAATGCGGCTACTAACATTTCAAATGATGCAGGCGGCGCTGGTAATTATATGATGGGTTCTCTAAAGAATCTCGTCTACAGTAATAGTAACGGCAGTGGAGGTAGTCCGGGCAGCAACGGTCTCCCCACTGACAAGTCAAGTAACTTCTCCCAATATAACGACGCCTTTCTCGACAACACGGAGGCTAGCCACATGAAGGGCAAAAATTTTTCCAAACGAGTAGGAAAAAACTTAACCCTGAATGGTATAAACCTTGGAAAAGGGAACATCAACACTGGGGCGAGCGGGGGAGGTTGCTACAATCACTTTGGCGCTAATAAGAACGCAAAGGGGTTTAGAAATCGCTTCACTCATTATAGCAAAAGTTCCATGAAGCATGGCATGGCTAAGCAAAATCTTGGCTTGGACGATAGGGGCAATCTTGCCACGGTTGGCGAAGACAAACAAGAAGGAGAGAGGGACATGGACAATAACGACGGCGAGCAGCAAGGGTTCTCCCTCTACTTCCGCAAGAACCAGCTCTCCCAGGTTACGCCGCACAATCAGCAAAATGTGCAAATCCAGTATGGCCCACGGAGTGAGCTTTATCACCCTAATGATGATGGGGAAAGTGCAGAGAGGAGGAGCATGGTTGCTCCAAATGAAGGCCTCTATAGCGACACGTACGGAGGCACACATGGGGACACCCTGGGAGAGGGGTTATATGACGATATCCACAGGAGAAGTAATCAAGGGGTGGTAAATAAAGCGCATTCCAGAAATCTATACGAAAATAGGAAATTAAAAAACAACAAATTGTATGGAAACGTAGGAATCGATGGTGAGGATAATGACATGGTGAATCATCTGGGGGGTAATAGAGATCTCGACCTTGTGGATCCCCTCAGGGCGAGTAGCAACCTACCTTTGAGTACACCCAACGATGCGGAAGTGAAAAATGTGAATAATCAAAATATCGCGACAGACAAGGTACACCCAAGTAGCAATATACACATGACCAGAAACAACAAGAATAATCCCACCATGAACTATACTAATGTCGGGAAAAAGAGAAAAAATGTGAAATTTGATGGTAACACGTTTCAAAAGCATAAGCCAAAAAAAAATTATTATAAGTCCTTTAACGATTCTTTAGAGAGGTATAGCAATAACTCGCTAAGGATTGTCAACACGGGTGTGAAGAAGGGAACCAATTCGTCCCTTTATGGCAATCCGGAGGCTGAAAAGGAGCTCCTGGATATGAACTTGGGTGTGAACGCACCTGGCGGTCAGGTGCAGGCCCATTCGAATGACAGCGCTGTAGTGGAGGTAGCAAACATAAGCAGCAGTGCACTAGATAGCGGCCCACCGACTGCGGCACTAAACGCACCATCTAACGCACTCGCGGGCGCTGCCGCCCGGGGAATCAAGACGGCCAGCCGAAACAACCACGTCAGTAACTTCCACCCCAGCATGAAGAAAAAACCGTTTAACAATATGACCTTCTCTCTTAACAAGTATCTCACCTCGTATGTGAACTTTGACCGGATTAAAAGCAAAAAAATGAACAATGGGAAGGTGACAAACAAAGGAAGCGACACCGGTACAGTATCGGTAGGCGGTAGGAATGATGCGGATGTGTGTGATAGCACGTTGGTGAACCCGGGACAGAACTTCGATGATCGAGATGGCGCAAATCCGACTGGAGATGAATCCTTCTCCAGTTACAGACCTCGGTCCAGCGAATTCACCCAGGTGGGAAACCCCATTGGGGGGAATCTCTCCGAATTGAATAACTTGGCCAAGAACCTCAACTTGGAACTATTAAAAAATTTGAGAGACAGCCTTCAAAATGAAATGAGCCTGAGCCGAGGCAATAAGGATGGCTCCAAGGTGAGGAGAAGCGGTCCCAGTTACATCGAATGCCTCAGCGAGGTGTCCGAAATTAGTGATGACGAGGAGGGAGACCAAAGCGATAAGGAGAAGGATAGCAGTGCCGAGTTGGGAAGAAATAAAAATGCTTTCCCCCAGTGGAGTGACAATATGACTGAAATGGAAGCGGCAGTAGGGATGGGTGGGGATAAGGGGTCCTCTGTTTCCCCCGCTGCTAACGGGGGGGTGGCACTTGCGTATGGCTCAAACCAGAGCCTTTATGGCAAGTCGGACCCAATGCAGAGTCTGTACAGTCTGTACAACAATGGCAGAGGAACGGATGCAAATTCCAGTGTGTATGGTGCCATCACTGCGGGCGCAGCCGCGAAAGGGGAAGGCAACACCTTCGCGCACACTGCAGAGATAGGCAGTAATGATGATGCATATGAAAGGGATATGACCTGTACATACGGAATTGAGACCGGCCAGTCCCATTTTAATGCAAACACGGATGCTGGTAATTCCAACTCGTATGATGCAAATAGGAAGAACCCCGAGGCGCAGATGGGGGTGGTGTACCGAGAGTATCTTGGCTCCGGTGGGGCTACTACTACCCCCTTTGGTGAGTCCAATGCAAATCCGATTGTGAAGGAAGAAATTAGTCCTAACCAATCAGGTGGAAAACATTTCCAAGGTGGAATCGAATCAAGCGAGAATTATGATCACCCCTATGGGGATAACCATTTTGTCCCCGAAACGGAGAGTAGAGCAGGGAAAAAAGAGGCCCCGTTTGGAAGCACAAATAACATGGACATGAACGAATTGGGGGAAGAAAACGAAGAAGAGGAAGACGAAACGGAACCGTTCTCCCAAATGAGAAACGAAGATTTGTTTATTAATTCATATATGCCATACCCTCCAGAAAAATACAGTAGTTTATACGACCTGCACGAAATAAAGATTTTATCCCCACATATATTGAAGACCAAATTTCACAAACAAGGAAAAAGCAGTTATCATTCCTCTCTAAAGGATGGAAAGCTAATACTCCTACTTGACCTCGATAACACGTTACTACAGGCCACGTCGTTTGCAAAATATAACATGGAATTGCCTCTGGAAAATTTTGTTGATGAAAATGGAGAACCCGAGTTGTATAAATTCTTCCTACCCCATTATAACTTTTTTTATTACTTAAAATTTAGACCCTATGTACGTCAGTTTCTGCAGATTCTGTCGCTGTACTATGAATTGTCCATTTATACTAATGCGACTAGAGAGTATGCCGATGTAGTTATCGCCATTCTGGACCCGGATAGAACCTTGTTTGCTGACCGAATCGTTGCCAGATGCAATTCTGCTGATAGGGAAGAAAATAAGAACTTTTCCAAAATTTACCCTAATGTAGACTGCAAATATGTTATCGCTTTTGATGATCGAAAAGACGTCTGGACAGACATTCCTCACTCCCATATTTTAAAAGCAGAACATTATAATTTCTTCGAACTAAGTAAATATGATATAATTTCTCATTTTAAAGAACCCACCACATGTAAGAAAAGATTCGTTGATATGGACATGCATCTGCATTTCATGACAAAAGTTCTCCTCAAGTTACACAAACAGTTTTTCGAAAGACCACTAGAGGTAGATGTTGGAAGGCTCATTGACGATATTATGTTAAGTACGTTAAGCAATGTTGGTGTCTATTTTACAGGGTTTAGAAAAAACTCCAAAAATTCGCAGCATGTCCTTTCATCAGATTGTGAAGATAGGCAGAAAGAAATAGCCTTAGAGTTGGGGGCCAAAATTTACACAAACTATGACATGCCTGGAGTTACACACATAATTGCTGCGAAAAATTGCACCGATAATTTAATCAAATCGAAGAAAGCCGATTATAATCATATACAGAAGGTTCACACTTTATGGCTTTACCATTGTAGGGGCACTTTGCAGAGTGGAAACTCTATCTACTTTGATGCCGATGCCTTGTGCAAAATTTACAATAATAAGCCGCCCCTGCACCCTAAGAAGGATCACTGGTTCTTTGGAAATAAGGACGAAATGAGGAAGCAAGATGATACCAGTGAATGCATCAAAACAGAGAATCTTAAATCCAGAATTTTTCTCGGTACAGGTGAATACACGAACGATGCAGTTATATGCTCGCCACACGAACAGATCAACATCAAGTGGATTGAGAAGGAAGTCAAGTTAAGGCAAATTTATGACACCCCCGGTGCTGCTCCTTCTTCCCTTGTTGGTGCGGCAGGGGACGGACAGCAGCGCGACAAAGGTGCAATGTGCGAGAGGACCCCCCACAGTGACATGAGCCCCCTTGGTGAACACGTCGACGAGGATGACAATTTTGCCTATGAGAATAGCAACGTGGAGGAGGAAGAGGGGGAGGAAGCGCGGGAGGAAGCCGAGGGCACGGACAGCGGCACCGCCTAGATCTGCATGGTCAGTAGGGATAAAGCGCCCATTTCTGCCGTTCTGTTTTTCACCACGTAGGTTTTCTTTTCCCTTATTTTTGCTACCATTTTGTATACCCTTTTTTTTTGTATCACCTTTTCTCGATGCACTTCCAAATGAATAGATTTTTTGTGACATTTTTTTTTTGGTTGCCTTACGCGGTGTGCATCACACTTTTGCGCCGCTTCCATTTTGACATTCGACATTTCCTCTTTGCTCCTTTTTTTCCACGTTTTCGACTGCTGGTGCGCATGAAAATGGTGCCTCCTCACAGTGGCGGCCGCTGTTTCAAAACACTTTTAAGCTACGCACATTTGTTCTTTTGATTATAAGAAAAAAATCAACTTCTACAAATGTGCCAAGGGGTAAATGCACTCATGTGTATGCAGAGTAGCGCGTTTTGCGAACTGTTGCAAAATTTTAATCACACCGTTATGGAGTACACGTGACTTGGGCAGAATAAGCCTCGTGCCAAGGGGATAAAATCCCCCCCTTCAATGAGTTTGCGCTGGAAAATGGAGGGGATGCTCCTTTATCCAAAGGGATGCCTTGCCATAACCGTCGAACTGCTTTTTCCCCCCGTCTGTGGGCAACACGCATATGTGCTTCTGCTGCTGAAGAGGCGAAGGGAGAAGCCAGAAAAGAGACAAAAATATACATATATATATATATGCGTTTCCTCCTACACAACGTCATCACAGCGTAGGCTAGTGGATACTCCCATAAATATCTCCACATTACACTTTGTTTAGCTAAGCTTCTAACCGTGGCTCCCCTTCATAAATGCCGCGAGCCCCCCCCTCATAACGATGCTTCTTCCCAAAGAGAGAAAAAAAAAAGATCACACGCTGATGAACTATACATCCACACACACACATGCAGAGAGTAAAGTAGCAGTTCCGTAAATCCAAAATGGCTATCCTTAATGAAAAACCCCGATTCGTAACTCACCAATAGTCTTTTTTTAAGAAGAAAAAAGTGGGAGGATGCCCTGGAAAAACGAAAAGCTATGTGTAATACCCCACATGAAAGGCATAACTCTTTCAACCAAGCTGTGTAATTTTGCCTAATATAAAAAAAAAAAAAAAAAGGGATACCCATAGACACAATGGGAAGGTCGAAGAGGCCCCAATTTACCTCTTCCCCGAGTAGAGAAAACCCCTTTTTTTAAAATGGAAAACTTTCCATAAAAGGGAGGCGGGTTCACATTGTCACTTCGCGTTGCGCAGGACACAGACAATTCGACCGACCTGTACTCACACACACGGGCGGGAACAAGTGGGAAACCAATTTTACAAACATTTTAAAATTATTCTGTGGGAAGAATAATTTCCGTTTATGAAAATTGCCACTCGATTGGGGGTAGGTGGGGCATGCCAAGGTTTACCTCCCACAAGGAGAAGACGTTAGGGCTGCCCCCCAGTGGAAAGGAGGGGGGGAACAAAATATGGTACCCTCTTCAAAGCAAACGAGCAAACAAATAAACCAATAAACAGATTCTATTGTGACCCCGAATTCGTGAAAAATAGGAGTACTCACCAGCCAGTGTTAATCACTTCAGGTGAAAGATATCTACCCAAGAACATCGCAAATAGAATCAAAAGGACGAACATATACAGAAGAAGAAGTAAAAGCATACACACCCGAGTGACAAAAGGGGAGTGGTGCGCATCTTCTTTCACACCCCATTTGATGATAAGGCCAACGGAGATAATACATCAGAAAAGTCACAAAATGAGCGGACGAGACAAAAAATACATCACCGTGTACTACTGCAGAAGAAATGGCGAAACGGATCAAGGAAAAGGCAGAAATAAAATGCAACAAATAAACAAGGGATACGTGACTATAGAAGTAACTAGGATGAACCAGAGGATACATCCCTATAGGAAGGGAAAAACCCAGCCTATTCTGCCAAAGGGCAGTTCGCAAAGCAGCCAACGGAGGGGCCCTTCCAGTAGCAGGGATAGCGGCATCGACCGAGTTAGGAAGCGCGGGAGGGAGTTCCTGGCGAGCTCCATAAAATCCTTTTTGAATGAAAATGCAAAGTGTAGCTGGACGAAAATATTACTCGACTTGGTGCATGACGCAAAAAACAGAATCAACGAAAAGATTAACGCTTTCCTTAAAGTGTGCGTTTTAAGTGAAGATTATTTCCCCAATGAGCTGCAGATAAATGACGACACGATAACGATGATGATGGGTGGGGGCCCAATTGGATCCGTCAGTTACTTCAACGCAGAACGTGCAAAAATTCTCCTCGAGTCTGCATCTGTGTATGATAAAAAATGCAACACTAAGGGGGGGATTACAACCCAGGGGAGGCTCTCTCGTTCGAGATGTCTTCCAATAAATGGAGACTGCTTCGGACAAGCCAATGCTTACGGAGTTCATAACAGCGCGGGGGTAAGGGACAACTACTATGCTCACAACATGACCAACTTTAATAGCTTCAACAAATCACTTTTTAACCGCAACTTATGGGGTCAGTCGAGCTTCTTTCCCATCCGCAACTTGGGCAATGATTCGTATTTACCCCAAAATTGGGGAACCCCCTACTTGCACACACACGCTGCTGCTTTACACTATGCTCCTTCGAAAAAACAGACTGTAAAAAACTTGTACATTTCTGTGGTTAACAAAAAAACCAATGTGAAGGAGGTGAGGAAGATTAGCCTGATGGAAATTTGCAGCTCCCCCTACTTGTTCCTGTGCCAAGGGTTTCTCTCAGACTTGGAGAGCTACTTGGCTCTGAATCACTGCCTTTTGTATCTTAAGGTAAGGGGCCAAGAGGACGTTTCTTCCATAGAACCGCCCCCTATCCACACGCCGCGATCTTTCGCGGTTCGTTACGCTAGTGCTTACATTCCACAGTACCATTTTAACGCTTCGTTAGCACCATGATTACACCTCGCCAGCACCCCCTCCTGCAACCGCACAACTTTGCCACCGTATGGACACCCCTTTCCCCTTTCAGAAAAACGAAGCAGAGCTGTCGCAGATCCACGCGAACTTCTCCTCCGTCATAGACGTCGATGAAGTCAACTTCCTTGAAGAAGGTTTATCAAAATCCATCCTCAGACACGCCATTAGAAGACTCACCACTTTGTTTAAAATCCCAACTGATGACATAAAAACGGTCGAGTTCTGTCTGTACCTAAAAGGCAGCCAACAGATGGAGACCCTAAATTTTACCGGACAGAGTATTTACAGATATCTCATTTTTATATTTCTGAGCAGCAAAAAGGGTAACTTTGTGGAGTTCCCCCAGAGTGGGATAAAACTTATGACCATCATTGGAAACTGCTTGATATATGAATGTTCCGCGGTGGAGAGTGATTCCAGGGTGGGGGGTCATTCGAAGCCAAAAAACAATGGCTTCAAATTCGACCTCTCAGAAGAGAAACTCTTTTTCCTAAAAGTTAACCTCAAGGAGAACGTAGATTTGCACCAAGTGTTAGTAAGAAAAACGGGTCCTGCCTCAACAATTGGTAAGTCGCTTCCCAGGGCCGCCACATTTCCAGAATTGTCCTGCGCAGGCTCCCCTAACGCTACTTATTCTTATAATTATTCCCCTCCCTATGGCCATGCTACCCCCAACCGTGTGAACCTCACTAGCGTCGGCTTTAACCCGGTGATCAATCCATCTTCGTCTGTTCAGCACAACGTGGACATTATTAACAAGGAGATAATGCAGCTAAACATGAACAGTATGCGCAACTTATACTTAAAGACGAAGACTGCTGAAGATTATGCAGCTCCCTTTGTCGTCCCCGTTTCGCAGCACCAAATGGAGAATAACTCCCCCCAAAGGTGCTAACCAAAATGCTGTTGCACGTGAAAACTAAGTTACCCATTAAGCTGCACAGTTGGTAAAGGTACACAATATTTTAAAAATTAAATCCGCTAACGGATTGTGTACTTATCAAAGGGGCTATAGTCCCCTCATATATGTCTGAAGATAAAAAAAAAAAAAAAAAGCTGTTCCACCGAAAGGATCTTTGCTTTTTCGCACACTTGTTATTTCAATGTAGTATGATTTATTTATTCATTCTCTTTTTTTTTTTTTTTTTTTCTTAATTCGTATAAATCACTTTTCACCAAACTGAAGCGTCGTAAATGCATGTCAACACACCGTTTCGATGGTACCCAGTAGAGGGATTGCCACGTGTAAAGCTCCCATCACAAAGAACGTGCATTTAAAGATAAAAAAATAAGACGCCATCAAAGCAGCAACATGGCATATGCTTCTCAGCCTGTTTATGTTGGCCAACTTTTCATTTTCACCATTTTGCCATTTCAAGGTGTTGAATTTTTTTGTCTATTTATGCGACCGGTGTGAATAGCATGGAGCTATTAAAATGGGGGGTTATCTTTCTGGCCCTCCCAGAATACCCTCATTAGGGCGGAAGAGGAACCGTAGGTGTACCACTCAAACGTAATGATTTTTCTTTCCAAAGGAACAGCCTTTTTTTTTTTCTTTTTTTTTGTAACCCCTTTATAAAAAACTACTTTGTTATAAGAATGACCCGCCATGAGATGTTTACAAAATTTAAACACAGCAGTTAAAGGAAGGGAACAGAAAAGGGGGGAATATTTTATTCCTTGTTTGACCTCCTTTTTTTTCCCCCCCTTTTGAATCTTAACTATTCAGGGCATTCATTGCTGGATAGAATGGCTCCTCATTTCTGTTTAACATTTATAGCTTTTTTTTTTTTTTACCTCACTTGTTAGGGTTTTTCGGGAAACGTGCGTATACGTGCAGAATGGCTACGTGGGAAAATGCACACTTGCGAGAGCACAGGTGTGTCTACACATGTCAGCAAATGCGTATGCGTTAATACGCACGCCCGCGAACACACATATATGTATATGGGCCAGTGCACATTTGCCCATAAAATGGTGCCCCCATGGGAAATGCCTCCTCTGCACACAGCTGGGGTAAGGCCTCTACCCATGGAGACGCAAATCTGACCGCACATCGCCGCGCGGGCCTCTCGAACATTTTAGACATTTTTGGGGTTTAGCCCCCTTTTTAACCTTTTCACGTGAAGACTCTTCACGGAAGAAGAAAAATATACATAAAAATTGGTTTAAAACAATTTTAATTTTCAAACATTGTTTGGGGGTGGGTGGGTAAAAAACAGCGCAGTTGGGTTGAAAAAAAACTCGTTGAGCTTCGCTCTGATGGTTCATTTTTCTTTGGTACTTTTTCTTACCCATTCGTACTCTGTTCGCCGTTTTTTCCACATCTTTTTGGACCTTTTCTTGTTTTTTCGCCCCTTCCCCCGCACCTTTTCTACGCGTGACCGCTAAATATTCTGGTATAAATTATGCGCGTACTTGAGTGACGGCACGTTGGGGTGCTTTACCTCCGTGAAGGTGATGCACTTGGGCTTGACGGATCGCCCCTTGAACTTGAGAAACGCGCCCTTGTTCTTCATAATGTCGCAGTAGTTAGGGGCACTAAAAACGGTGTAGAGCATGCCGTTCTGCTCAAGCGAATAGCCCTCATCCCTCACTTCGTGCGACCTAATTATGAGACTTAGGTTGTTCCTTTTAAGGAAGCTCTCAGTAATGTCCGTGCCAAAGGAAAATCCAATTCCCCTCTTGGAGGGCTTAAATCCTTTTTCTTCATTTGGGTCTGACCATAACAAATCGGTCATGATGCCTTCATCCATGGGCTCCGTATTTCTGTCAATCCTTTCAATGTCCTCCAACGTGGTGTCAGTTTTGCTTGGGATTCCCCCGTGGCAAATAAAAATAGTATCATTGAGTACATAAGCAAGAGGTAAAAATTTAAACGAATCGGAAAAAAGCACGTGCATCTTCTCATCATATTTTTCTTGTAACTCTCCTAAAAATCCATACAGCTTGTTCATATTATCCGTTTCGTGATTTCCTCTAGTCAAATGTACATTATTAGGGAAGGCCAGTTTGGCAAGAAATAAAAATATAATAACTTCAACAGAGAAGCTTCCTCTATCAACAAAGTCGCCATTAAACAGGTAAGAATTCGTTTCCGATGGGTACCCATTTATTTTCATAATGTTGATGAGGTCGTAAAATTGACCATGAATATCTCCACATATCGTTAGCGTCTCATCTTCTTCTAAATTTAGACGAACTAACGTCGGTAGTTCCTTGAGCAATTTGATAATGTCCAAGACGATGGCACAGACGCATTTCTTATTTAACTTCTGACCGGGCACACTTATGTAGTCTACAACTTGTTGTAAAAAATCGATACTTAAATTGTTTCTGTCATAAATGGGGGCTTTGACATTTTCAATTTTGAGAGAATCCAATACCAGCGTTTCGTAGTAGGGCATTTTTTGCTCTAACTCAATGGCCTTCTGGAACTGTTGCTCAAATAGTAATTTTTTACACTGCCTTAATTTTATTTCCGAATTTTTATCCTTAGTCAGTTTTAACACCTTCTGAAAGCAGTCAGATGCGCTTTTCAAATCTGACAGCATTAAAAAGGAGCACCCCTTTCTGTAGTAGGCCTTTGCATAGAAGGGATTAATTTTTATAGCTTCATCAATGTCTTCTATGGACGAGCCGTAATTTTCTAACTTCATGTGACAGAAGGATCTATTCGTGTAGTATATATGCAAGTCTGTTTCTTTCACGCTAATAAATTCACTCTTTTTGGTGATACTACTGTTCAGGTAAAATTCTTGTAACAATTTCACTTCCTCCTCTTCTAAGTGGACTTCATGAGGCAAAGCATCCAGGCTTATCCTGTTTAGTAGATCCAAACAAAATGGGTTATCAACCTCGTAGAATTTTTTTATCAAATCGATCGCTCCTGTGTAGTGCTTCTGAGATGCCAGGTAGTTATTCTCTTTGAAGTATTTGTTGCCCAGGTTTTTCAAGGCGTCACATAGTTTAAGCAGCTCCACGCTGATGTTTTTTTTGGCCTCCCTGCAAGGGGTCTCCTCCATTTGGGAGCCATACGCATTAGGATCCCCCTCTTTGGATATCTCCTCTTTGGATTCCCCCTCTTCGGGTTGCTCCCCTTTAGGATGAGAATCTCTCGGTTCCTTCACAGTAGGATCCTTCCCATTAGCCGCTTCGCTAGCCCCCTTTTCCGCATGGCCCCCTTCCTCGGGCGGGTCTTCCCCGTGCAAGTCCGATTCGTCATTTGTTTCTGGGTCCCTCTCCTTCGAGTCTGTGTCCTCGTGCGACCCTGCTCCGTTAGAAACATTATCATCGGTACTCATTTGGGATCCGCAGGGATTCCCCCCACTCACATTCGCGCCTTTCCCATGATGCTTGCGACCCTGGATTTTCTCCTCCTGGCTTCGGCTCTCGCTGTATATGCTTTCCCTGTTTATCATCTTTTCTTCGTTACTCCCTAGTCAACTATAGAGATTTTGTTTTCATTAAAATTTGACATACAGCCTAATTTTACGATTCCGTTTTTTTCCCTGAGCGAGGTATATAATATCGTTTCTTTCTTCCCTGCACGCAGGTTGGCTTCTAAACAATTTTTATAATCACTTAAAATGGATACTTCTATTTTGACGCTGCTGTTAGATTTTTCTGATAGAAATGTCATTTGTTTTTTTTTTTTTTTTTTTTATTTCTTCTCCTCTCCTTTTCGGTGCCCCTCTTCGTTTTCTACTGCTCCTCCTGTAAATCTTTCCTTTTTTTCACGCCTAAAAAATTATAACGACGCCTAGATGCTTAAATCTTCTAAAACTACAAAATAAAGCTGAGTGCCTCTCTTCCCTACCTTTTGTCTTTCACATAGATTCAAATGTTAAATTAAACGAATTCCCATTTTTTTTTTTTTTTCCTACTTTGGTATTACTCCTTGGTGAAAATATTCTACACAGTTTGTTTAGGCGAGAACGGCATAAGACCACGCGGATGGCAGGCACCGGGTAGAAGCGCACTGGGGGGGCTACTACTACACGTACATGCGAAAACGACCCGGGTCCATTTGCCTATTTAATGCACATATGGCTCTACCACTGGTATGTAAAAAAAAAAATGGCGTATACCTAACGTCATAAATAAGAGTATTCCTACCAGGGGTGTACATATCATAGAGGTGATTAAACACGGGGAGAAGGAAACTTAGGTGGATTTCACTTTTGTCTTGATTTCTACCTGCGTAGTGCAAGCTTATTTGCCATGTGTTACATGAGCAGTGTACATTTTTAACGTACTTGTTGGGATGGCACAATTTTGTCCTCGTATATATGCGTTGTATATATGCGTGTAAATGTACCTGTACATGTACTTGTCCCTAGGGGAAAAAACTGCTGGAATGTTGGGACAAGTCAACTCAGCCGGGAGAATCGCCTTTTTACGAAAAAAAAACGATAAAATGGTTATTTCGTCGCTTTACCCTAGTGTGACACTATTGTGAACTCTTTCACCATTTTATTTTGTTCTTTTGTTATTTTTTTTTTCTTTTCCTTTTTCTTTTTTTTTTCTTTTTTCATGGCATGTAACTGGTTATATTGAAAAAAGGTAGAGGAAAAAAAAAATTTTTTTAATTTTAGCAGAGCTCAAGAAAATAAGCGAACAAAAAGAAGAAAATACATTCCCAAAAGTTCCCAGAAAATAGCCAAAACGGGCAACAAACGCGTAACTACTTTTTAAAGCACGTTAGGGAATTTTCCACGAAAAAGTGAAAATAAGAAATGGGGACGAGGGGACCAACGTGCGCATTTGTGTAAAAAGGCACAAAGAAAGAGTAGTATACAACTCCAATCTTTTTAGGGACAAATTGGCAAACGACAATATAGCAAACACTTATGTTCTGCCATGCGGGTGTACCTTTCCTCCACAGCAACGGGTGTGTCACATATGCGTCCCTCCCCGTAGGATTTTATGTGTGCGCATGGAAAAGGACCTTGCTGAGAAATAACTACCCACGCGGTTTTGTCCCCCAGGCTGCCCTCTGTGCGCGCATGAGTGTGTGTAGGTATTTATCCTTCAGTGTTTATCGGCGTGTTAGTTTTTCTGTGTGTACGTTATGCGTCAGTGTTTTCCTTACGTATGTGTGTCAGTGCGTGCTCATCTCCTTACATGTTTCTATGCTCATGTGCACATTTGCGTCGCACTGCTCGAATGATTACGTATGACAGGGGGAAAAACTTACTACGCATGTGCTGTGGTCCAACGGAGTAACCCTTTATTTTTTTTTTCTTTTTCTCACTACGACATACAGGGGAAAATTCCACACTTTGTTGCGCAAAAAAAATGTTAATACCTTCATCGCAAATGATGTACAAAGGAACTAACCAACTAAGCGCAATCAAGTTATCAGAAATAATTCCACAAAGCAGTTGTTATTTGTCCTTACACCGTAATGGTATTAAAAAAAAAAAAAAAAGTGTATACATCCGTAAGTGTAATTTATATAAAGAGGAACTGCCGGGGAAACTGCCTACCGACATGAATACGCATTGTTGGGCTGGCGTGCAAAATTTTATCCACCCATGTGAACATATTACAACGCGCGGGAAATTATAAAAAGGGCGCAGTTGTTGTGAACTAGTCGGGAAAAGCTTCATCGCAGCATAATTGCACTTGACCTTATGTGCAAAGCTGCGTACTCATAAAATGGCCGATCCATTT